AGTTCTGGTTAGGACCATTGCTTTAAGGAAATTGTTTTGAATGGTTAAAACATTGGCTTGCATTTAATTTACTGGTTTTATTTATGTGCTTTTTACTACTCTGCAGAATGTGCCTATTGATGTTTTAATAATTTAACTGTTAGATTTAAATTTAAATTGTTGGTAAATAGGTAGAAAACTGTAAAGCCATTGTATAGCTTAATGAATCATTATAAGGTACACACCTTGTAAGTTTCACCCAGTTAGGATATGGAAGTTTGCCAGGTGCCCTGGAAGGATCTCCAGGTGTCTCTTCAGTTGCAACTCCCTCTTTCTGAAGAGAATTTCTATCCTGACTTTTATGGATTATTTTTACTCTTTTTTAAAAAATTGAGACAGAGTCTCACTTTGTCACCCTGGGTAGAGTGCCATGGTGTCATAGCTCACACCAATGTCAAACTTGGGCTCAAGTGATTCTCTTACCTCAGCCTCCCTAGTAGCTGGTACTGTGGGCACCCACCACACCATGCCCAGTTTTTTTTTTTTTTGTTTGTTTAGCAGGCCAGGCCTGGTTCAAACCCACAAGCCCTGGAGCATGTGGCTGGCACCCTAATCACTGAGCTATGGGCACCCAGCCATTTTTACTTTTCTTTATAGCTTTTATCACCTATATGTGCATCACTAAGTACTATCTATAGTTCTTTATACATCTTTTAACCCTCTGTAGATTTATTATTTAAGAAAACATACAAAGTAAATTAAAATGGACTACATATTATGAATTATTTTATTTATTTTTTTAGACAGTGTCTCTGTTGCTTTGGGTAGAGTGTGGTGGCATCATAGCTCACAGCAACCTCAGACTCTTGGGCTCAAATGATCCTCTTGCCTTAGCCTCCCAAGTACCTGGGACTACAGGTGCCTGTCACAGTGCTCAGCTATTTTTCTAGAGGTCTTGCTCTTGCTCTTGCTCAGGCCTTGAACTCCTGAGTTCAGGCAGACCACCCATCTCAGCTTCCCAGAGTGCTAGAATTACACATATGAGCCACCGTGCTGGGCCTATGGATTCTTTTAGTTTACTGAGATGTCCACTGGGAAACTGAAGTTCTTATTTTTTTCCCGCTTTAACTGTGAACCACAAGTTTTTGCTCCTTAAGTATTTTTTTATCATAGACATTTTTCTTCCTTTTCATTTAATGATACTAATCTACTTTTCTGAATTTAACGGATGTGGACTAGTTTTTAGACTACTCAAAGAAATACAGTTATCCTTCAGAACTCTGATTTTTTTCCTAACAAAATTAGTTAAAACCACATTGTTTTGTCTGAAGAACAGCATGTATTGCTACCAACGTTATTTTTAGACCCTGAGATATGATTTTTTTGTACTCTGCTTTAACTTTTTTTTTTGGAGATAGTCTCATTATGTCACCCTGGGTAGAGTGCTATGGCATCATCACAGCTCACAGCAACCTCAAACTCTTGGGCTTAAGCCATTCTCTTGCCTCAGCCTCCCAAGTAGCTGGGACTACAGGCACCCATCACAATGCTGGGCTGTTTTTTTTTGTTGTTGTAATTGTCACTGTTGTTTAGCAGGCCCAGGCTGGGTTTGAACCCGCCAGGCCCAGTATATGTCGCCAGCGCCCTAACCACTGACCTATGAGTGCTGATGCCTGTTTTAACAGCTTTGTTAACATAAGAAATGATTGTACTGAAATGTAGTAACTTCTGATAAGTTTTTCCTTATAAATAATTTCGTCATTATTCAGTTATTTTGAATTGACATTAAATTGCTGTTTCCTTTGGTTGTGTTGTGAATACTGAGAAGAGACCCAATTACTGTTTGTAAATACCAACTCTTCTGTTCTTAAATGATAAATTTGTATGTTGCTCGCTCGTTCGTTATTAATGGATTCCACCTTCTCTTTGAAGAATGTAAAGCTGTCAGCTGAGGTAGAGCCATTTATTCCCCAGAAGAAGAATCCTGATACGTTTATGATCCCTATGGCTCTCCCAAACGATAATGGAAGTGTTTCTGGTGTAGAACCAACTCCAATTCCCAGCTACCTGATTACTTGTTACCCATTCGTGCAGGAAAACCAGTCCAATAGGTAATTTGTTTATTATTTACTTTTTGGTAGGGGAGATAGAAGTTGGCAAAACATACTTAATTGTTTTCTTTTTAAACTTTTAAATGTTAACCATTTGTCTTATTTTTTTAAGAGGAGTAAATAAAACCAAGTGATATAAAATTTGAAAATTGTTAACATGGATCATTTTCTCATTCTTTCTAAGAGGAAATGGAATTGTTTGGATATGTCTCTATATTAAGTCATTGAAATTCATTTGAAATAAATTAGTCCAAAGGGAGGAATGAAATACAGTAGAACCTTCATAGTGGACTATCTTTCTACATTGACCACCTCCTTCAATTGACCAGATTTTCTTTTCTTTTCTTTCTTTCTTTTTTTTTGAGACAGAGTCTTACTCTGTCACCCTCCTGAGTAGAGTGCAATGGTGTCACAACTCACAGCAACCTCCAGCTCTTGGGGTTAGGCCATTCTCTTGCCTCAGCCTCTTGAGTAGCTGGGATTATAGGCGCCTGCCACAAGGCCTGACTGTTTATTGTTGCAGTTTGGCTGGGGCCTGGTTTGAACCCACCACCTTCGGATTATGGGACCGGTGCCCTACTTACTGAGCCATAGACGACGCCCAAATTGACCAGATTTTCATAGCTAGGGCATACACCATATGTGTTCAGTGGAAGTTCCTTATGTTGTCTCTGTATGTTGACTAGTTGGTTGCAGTCCCTTAGCTGGTCAACTTAAAATATTTTTAGTATTCAAATTAACATTCTTAGACACTTAATAAAGGGTTTTTGGGTTAGACAAATAACAGAAACTAAGAGGTCATTTTTAATGGAGTTTAGTTATATATTAAAAACCTTTGACCTATGTTGGATGATGTGTGAGGTGATTCATAAACTAAATTTAGTAGTATTTTTCTATTTGACAAAATAGCCTGGTGTACAGTATGATAAACTTAATTTGTTTTCTTACTTTACCAGATAGTCTTTGAGAATCCATGAGTAAGCCAGCCAGTAGATTATTTTAAAACATTTTTTTTTTTTTGAGACAGAGTTTTGTTATGTCACCCTCGGTAGAGTGCTGTGGTGTCACAGCTCACAGCAACCTCAAACTCTTGGGCTTAAGCGATTCTCTTGCCTCTAGCCTCCCAAGTAGCTGGGACTACAGGCACCCGCCACAACACCAGGCTATTTTCTTGTTGCAGTTGTTGTCGCTTAGCTGGCCCAGGCTGGGCCCCAACCCTCCAGCCTCAATGCATGTGGCTGGCGCCATAACCACTGCTATGGGCGCCAAGCCAATTTTAAAACATTTTTTAAAATGTGGTAGTGAACTTTTTTCCATTTTGTTTTGTCATAGGAGTAGTGAGGAATAGTTCTGTGCTTTACTCCGTGGAACCTTATGTTTATCAACAGCAGCCTTTGGGTGTTAAGAATTTTGCTGGTGCTTTACCTGAACTGCACTAGAGGAAGCACTAATGCTGAGGATAAGATGTCAGGGGACAGGCTTACTTCTTTTATTTCCCTTGGACCTGGAGTTTGCTTCCATTGTCAAGGAGGGGAGCCAGGAAAAGAGCAGGACTTAGCCAAGTGGTTAGGGGATTATGGGAAGAGGAATAGGAGGCCCTGGATCAAACAAGAATGAGAGGTGGAGAAATTAAATCACCCTATGTTATGATCTCCTTACACTATTTTCACCTTACTCTGTTTTCTACAGAAGCCTGTCATAGTTGTGAATATTGGGTGGGACTCCTTTTGGCAGATCTAGTACTAGGTGTTTAACTTTGGGGCAGAAATACCTTGAAGAGGTTGAGGACAGAGTTACAAATAATAAGGATATGTGGAATGCTATGAAACTGTTAAGTTAGATTCCTTTGTACTGTCATTTAAATTGTTATTACCTGTACATAGTTATCTATAATTATAGCAAAGATACTAGTTTTGTCCTCTTTCCCGGAATTATTATGAAGCCACTGTTGTGTTTTTTTCTTTTAACTTAATGAGTTAAGAGATTTTGATTTAGTGTGCTTTTTAGACTTGTCAATAGATTTGTTCTTTTTTGATTTGGTTTTGCAGACAATTTCCTTTATACAATAATGATATACGATGGCAGCAGCCAAATCCAAATCCCACAGGACCATACCTTGCCTACCCCATTATATCTGCTCAACCACCTGTTTCTACAGAGTATGCATATTATCAGCTAATGCCAGCACCATGTGCCCAAGTTATGGGTTTCTATCATCCTTTTCCTACACCATACTCCAACACCTTTCAGACTGCAAATACTGTAAATGCTATAACTACAGAATGCACTGAGCGTCCACATCAGCTTGGACAGGTCTTTCCATTGTCCAGTCATCGAAGCAGAAACAGTAACAGAGGACCTGTGGTACCGAAAGTAAGTGTCTGGTTTTGATTCTGTTGTTAATACTAGTATAAGTAATTTGGTGCTTCTCTTGATTGACCTTTAATGCTGAATTTACTATAAATCATTTTGTTCACTAACATAAAATGGTCAAGAATTTTTTTTATAAAATAATTTTTTTTTGTTACTTATTGTTACTAATTCTTGATTGGTGATATGACTTACAGTCTTATTCATGTTTTGTCAGAGAGTTGTATGTAAACATACACAAATATTTCTAAATTATTTTCATTTAATGATAGAAATTTCATGGGGGCACCCACATTTATAAAAGTAGGTAGTATGGATCCTATGCTAGCCATGTTGAATGATTAATACACTTCAAGATATTTCAGTCTTCAAAAATCAGGAGATATTATGGAAAGGAACATTTGTGATTCATTAGGTCCCTTCAACTTCATTTTTTCTAGCCTATGAATTTTTAGTAGGAATAGCACTTTGTTATTTAAGAGGTACTTTACTATTATATGAACAAAGTGTCTGCTAGGGCTAAAGAAAATGAAAGATAAAGTGCTTGCTTTGGCAGCACATACACTAAAATTGGACCAAGACCGAGAAGTTTAGCATGGCCCCTGCGCAAGGATGACATGCAAATTCATAGTGATGCCTATGGCTCAGAGGAGTAGAGCGCTGGCCCCATGTGCTGGAGATGGGGGATTCAAACCCAGCCCCGGCAAAAAAAAGAAAAGAAGAACAATAAATATGTGAAACTACTTTTATGCAGGACCAACCTTTTGACTAAGTTGAAAGGAAGGAAGGAAGGAGGAAGGGAGGAAAGGAAGAAAGGAAAGAAAGAAATGGAGGGTTTGCAGTCAGAATAGCATTAAGGTTTAATTTAGGTAACTGTTTTTTATCTAAAAGGCTATTTTGCATTGGGCCCTTAATATCAAAGCTAATCAGAATAAAAACCCTATTTCTAGTCAGCACTTTTGACTTGATTGAAGAGTGACTTCTTAGATGCATCTTAATGACTATATCAAAGAGTTTATGTTTCCCTGGATTCTGTTAGCCTAGCTGCTTCAGTGAAGTCTCTGCTGCCTCCTGGCATAATTTTTATAAATTAAAATACAAACAAGTAGCAGAGGTTGCTTTGAAAAAGCTTTTAGTCTTTGTTCTTGGAAACAGTCTGGGGCAGAGAAATCCCTTTCGGAATTCTGAGAATGAAAAAAACAAGTATTGGAAATAAGATAACAGTATATAATTTCCAAATGTTGAAGGAACATGATTTCTCAGAATGCGTTTCTTATCACTTCAATTTAGGAAGTTAAAGAAAATTCAGAGTTCTATTGTGTGAATTGCTGTTGAGTGATGAATACTCATATTTTGAAAAGTGAAAGAAGGGATTAGCTTTTTACTATTTTCTTTTCAAACTCCAAAGCAGAAAAATTATTTTGTATATCATTGCTAGCATGAAACTAAAATTTGGCATTGGGATAAGTTACCACCCTTTTTAATTATCCTTTTAAATAAATTTACAATGCCTTATATGATATGATTATGTTTCTTTTAATTATTAAGAAAATAAAAAATTAACAAAAATGAATTAATATTTTATTAATCATAGCAGTGTTAATGGTTGTTTGAAAAATAGTTTGTAAATGTGTGTATAATACATTATTTAGGTAATTATGCTTGCTGCAGATAATTTCATGAAACCCTAATACAGAAATCCTATTGCCCTGTAGATTGAAAGCCACTAATTTATAACATATATAGGTATATTTTATAATGTTTAGTACATTGAATAGGTTCTTTTCTTTTTTATAATTTAGCAACAGCTTTCACAACAGCACATAAAAAGCAAAAGGCCACTGGTGAAAAGTGTAGCTACCCAGAAAGAAACAAATGCAGCAGGTCCTGATAATCGATCAAAAATTGTACTTCTTGTAGATGCTTCACAGCAAACCGGTAAGACAAGCATATCTATCTATCTATCTATTTATCTATCTATATATATTACTGATTTTTGCCTATTTTTATCTGTTGACTTACTGACTTTATAATTGTGATCTGTACAACTTTTCAGGATCCTGTATTTTCGTCCTTTCATTTGTCCTGCCACTCTGTGAAATCCTCTAAGGATAAAATAATATGAGTCCTAAATGTTCTTTCACCTTGCCTGCCAGTTTGTGTACAACTTTGGATAGGGTTTAAGGTTTCCTTTCCCTTTGTACTGGTGGAACAGTTCAGAAATCAGAGATGGAATTTCGCAGATACTGTAAAAATTTGAGGGACTCATTTAGTTGAAATCAAAATTATATGTGTTTTTACACCTAAATTAAAATCCTTTAATAAAACATCCTAACATCCTATAACATCTTTATAGGAAGAACTTAGCAAGTTTTCTGTGCCTTATTTTAGCATAGATCTGAGCCAGATCTATGAATGACACATCCTATCAAATGAACAAAAATTTGAATTAGTCAGATTTTATCAAACAATTTTAAAAGACTCTGTAAGCTAAATAAAAAAGCTTTCTCCTGGTAATAAATAAGAATGAAGGCTCGGCGCCTGTGGCTCAAGCGGCTAAGGCACCAGCCACATACACCTAAGGTGGCGGGTTTGAATCCCCAGCCTGGGCCCGCCAAACAACAATGATGGCTGCAACCAAAAAATGGCCAGGCGTTGTGGCGGGCGCCTGTGGTCCCAGCTACTTGGGAGGCTGAGACAGGAGACTCGCTTGAGCCCAGGAGTTGGAGGTTGCTGTGAGCGTGATGCCATGGCACTCTACCCAGGGGGATAGCTTGAGGCTCCGTCTCAAAAAAAAAAAAAAAAAAAAGAATGAATATTCTTATCTACACTATTAAAAAAAATCCTTACTAATGATCCAAAGCCAAGAATTAGAGCTATTCAAGGCGTAATTGCTTCTTAACTCTCTACAGCGACTGCTGAAATAAAGTTTGGGTTGAAGTGAATAAAATGACTTACGGGCACCTGTGGCTCAGTGGATAGGGTGCCAGCCCCGTATACTGAGGGTGGCAGGTTCCATCCTGGTCCCGGACAGACTAAAACAAACAAACCAACAAACAAAAGTAGCCAGGCATTCTGGCGGGCACCTGTAGTCCCAGGTACTCAGGAGGCTGAGGCAAGAGAATCGCCTAGGCCCAGGAGTTGGAGGTTGCAGTGAGCTGTGACCCCACAGTACTCTACCGAGGGCAGTAAAGTGAGACTCTGTCTCTAAAATAAAAATAAAATAAAATAAAATGACTTATACTTTTTTTCATTTGGGCTATGCCTTTTCTTTGGGGGATCTCTTCATTTATCCTTTTACAGTTGATTAGATCCATTACGAGGAGAGAAAGGATCTGAGAATTAGTTATAAAACAACCTTGCTGGTAGCACAGTCATCGTGTGGTTAAAACATAAACACATGAAGCTGTGAGATTAACAGACTCTTAACAAATGCTTGCATTGGCTATGGGAAAGAATCACAGTGTAATGTATTTTCTTAAAACCTTAATGATAATTTAATAAGAATTTATGAATTTGTTCATCACAAAGAGTTGTCACACTTTGCTTGCCTTTGTAGATTTCCCATCAGATATTGCTAATAAGTCTTTGTCAGAGACCACTGCCACAATGCTCTGGAAATCCAAAGGCAGGAGGAGAAGAGCGTCCCATCCCACGGCGGAATCTTCTAGTGAGCAGGGGGCTAGTGAAGCCGACATTGACAGCGATAGTGGTTACTGCAGTCCCAAACACAGCAACAACCAGCCTGCAGCTGGGGCTTTGAGAAATCCTGATTCTGGGACCATAAATGTGTGTAACATTGCCTTGATTTCTTTATCAGTCATTGATATCAGTATTTGCATCCCCTGCTGAAGTATCTATTTTCATTAACAATTTCTATAATAATAGGATAGTTAAAAAGGTATTTTGTATATCTTATTAGTAAGTTTAAGTATTATAAAATTACAATAAGCACATTTCACACTTGACTAAATTATGAATTGTTTTGCAAAGTACATAAAGTTGACTCTTAAGTAGAAAATAATTCTTTTTTCATTTCTTTTTTCAGCAGGTGGAATCATCTATGTGTACAGGTACTTATTTTCTATATTGCATTTTTGCCATATTTCTTTGTTCATGTTAGGATTTTCCTTTTAAGCATGAGGTTTGCTGATACTGGAAAAAAGAAAAATTAGAAATTTTCCAGTGATTCAAGTTAGTTTGCAAGTAGCTTTCCAATCAAATTGAGAAATTGCTAGCTTGGAGGTATTCTACAAGATGACACCTGTTATTACTGGGAACTAGAATACCACTTAGAGTTTATACAATGATTTTTCAATATTACATTTATAGTGACTGGATTTCAATATGTGAAGTTAGGGGGCGATTTAGGTTTTGGCATCTTTTATAAGTAAATTATATTTTTAAACTCATTTGTTGTAGGTGGTGTAAATTGGTCCAATGTAACTTGCCAGACAACTCAGAAAAAACCATGGATGGAAAAAAATCAGACATTTTCTAGAGGTGGAAGGCAAGCTGAACAAAGAAATAATTCACAGGTAATTGGAATTAGGTTGGAGAATATTGATTAGGTGTGCTCTTTATTTTATTTTTTATTTATTTTTGAGACAGAGTCTTACTTTGTTACCCTCAGTATGGTGTCACAGCTCACAGCAACTTCAAACACTTGGGCTTAAGCGATTCTGTTGCCTCAGCCTCCTAAGTAGCTGGGACTACAGGCACCTGCCACAATGCCCGGCTATTTTCAGAGATGATGTCTCGTCTTGCCCAGGCTGGTCTTGAACCTGTGAGCTCAGGCGATCCACCTGCCTCGGCCTCTCAGAGTGCTGGGATTATAGGCGTGAGCCACCGCACTGGCATAGGTGTGCTCTTTAATCCCATTTCTCTGCCATGTCTTTTTTCAATTCTTATACAAATTTTAAAAGTATTTTATGCCTTAAATACTGATTTTTTTGATCTTAAGGATTATGGTCTTGTCCATGTGTCTTTACTTGACTATAAATACTTTCTGTGTTAGCAGTGGTGCCATAGTGGTGGCTGCCTCATGCCATAATGTAGTCAGACTGGGCAGCTTTCTGAAGGCCTTGAGAAACAAAATCTAACTGCAGTACAGAAGACTGGGCTTTTTATTGCCATGAGCTTCCAATAGCTGTCTTCCTGCATTGGTTAACTAGGCTGGCTGTGAAATCAGGGAGTTGTTTATTTGTCATCACTTTTCTTTTTCATTTTTTACGTAGCCTTCCTGGATTCCTTAAAACGAGTTGAAGAGTTAAAGTTATCATGATTATGATGCCTGTGGATAAACTGAAATAAGAGCAAGTTCCTGATGGGTTAGATTTGCTACCACTTGCCTATACCTCTGCCTCCCTGAGATGAAGTATAGGTTGAATATTCCTAATCCAAAATTCAAAATGCTTCAAAATTTGGAACTTTTTTCCTTTTTTTTAAATTGATACATAATAATTGTATGTATCTATGGGGCCCAATGTGGTATTTTCAGGTATCTATGCCAAGGTCACTAAGAAAGTTTTGAAATAAATACAGTTAACAGTGGTCACCTTTCTGATTCATACATGGAAGTTTCAACTTGTTAGCTTATGGCTGTTGCTGGGAGGCCTCATTTGTGTCTGTCTGTGTAGCACTCAGTT